GAGGGAGAGGGAGAGGGAGAGGGAGAGGGAGATGGAGAGTACACACAAAAGAGGGAATCAGGAATGTGTAAGGGAGCAGGGCTTGGACTTGGCTGGGACTCAGTCATACAATTACAGTTGTAGTTTTAAGAAGTAAGTCTGTCAGGCCAGCTTGTGTGGCTCAGTGGTTGACCAATGACCCATGAACCAAGAAGTCTCAATCTGATTCCTGGTCAGGGCACATGCCAGAGTTGTAGGCTCGATCTCCAGTAGGCGGTGTGCAGGAGGCTTATCCCTCTTCCTTCCTCTCTGAAATCAATAAAAGAAACTCACAGCCCTAGTCAGTTTGGCTCAGTGGCTAGAGCATTGGCCTGAGGACTGAAGGGTCCTGGGTTTGATTTCGGCCAAGGGCATGTACCTCAGTTGCAGGCTTGATCCCGGGCCCTAGTCGGGAGGCAACCAATCGATGTGTCTCTCTCACATAGGTGTTTCTCTCTCTCTCCTCTCTCCTCTCTCTCCTCTCTCTCTCTCTCTCTCTCTCTCCCCCCCTCCCTTCTACTCTCTCTGAAAAGCAATGGAAAAAATATCTTCAGATGAGGATATAAATAAATAAATAAATAAATAAATAAATAAATAAACTCATAAGAATAAAAGAAGCAAGCCTGTCAGATGGGGCCCTGTCAGGGAGGACCGGATGGTGGGTCTGTGCATATTAGTAACTGGGCCAAAACTGAAAGCTCTTTGGTAAGAGAGAGCTGCTCAGAGCAAACCCCAGGCTGCAGGCACCCTGTGTGCCATGTCCTGAAGGTGGACTGGGCTCTCATCCTGGATCTGCAAGGCTCCTCTTTACCTCAGCCAGCGGGTCTCAACTCCAGGGATCTGACTGGGACAGGGACAGGAGCCTCTAATATTGAAGGGAAGAAAGGAAGAATTGGGATTGGTTTCCTTTCCACAAGTCAGATGAGTAAAGGCAGAGACAGGTTTAAAAAAAAAAAAAAAAAAAAAAATTCCAGACCCAGGCAACACAATATATCATCTGATTAACAGTCTAGAAAAATAGGTACCCTTTCTTCCTGTAATTTTTGTTTTCTTTTTTCTTCTGCAGATATTCTCCGCTGTTCATCTTTCTGTTTTTGTTCTCGCAGCTTTCGCTGTTTCTCTTCCATCTGTTTTTCATACTGGATCTTGGACTTTCTCTCTTTTTCAAGTAGTTGTATTTCTTTAGTAGCTGAAATATTCCAAATGCAAGGTGTAAGATCCAGAAAATATTTACGTTTTCCCCATGACACACCAAGGAGAAAGTGAACATATCTCATTCTCTTTCTTAAAAATAACAATCTGTGTTCATAACTAAACACTTATTACATAAGTGAAAAGAGATGGCCACCAAACAGAAACTCCAGAGAACTAAACTAGCTTAGATGACTTTCATCCTGTCTGAACCCAAATTTCAAATTAAGAAGAAACAGTTTCTGGTACATCTGACATTTCTGCTGATTTGAGCTAACGTCAAATATTAAAACAAGAATTTTTAAAAAAACACATGGCCAGATGTGTTTTTCTCCTTCTGCTAGGAAACTCCTTTCAAAGGCCTCACCTATACAGACCACATTAAGCATGCCGGTTCATGGGCTTAGTCACATACCACATTTTGATGTTTTCCTACATTTAAATTTCCCCTAGCTTAAGCCTGGAGAGATCTATGCAGTTGTAAAACAGTCTGGGGCTTAGAGCTAGGAAGAAACAGCTCCTCACCAAAACAATGGTAATTGATATTTCATCTGAATAAAGTTGAGCACTAGTATTGTCAGTGGATTTACAAGACCAGAGGAGAAAAATACACAGTTGAAAGAGCATTCTCTCAGGGTGTAAAAAGAATATTCTTTTAGATCCCAAATGATCCAAAGTTACACTTGAGAAGCACAGGGATCAGTGAAAGATACCAGATCTATGTTAGGATTCTTAGCAACTTCATTTTCATGTTTACTATTATTTTACTGACATCCCATTCTGCTTGTTTCTAGGACTGTTGAAGAGATATTCATACCTTAGTTTTCAGAAAATTAAAGCTAACAGAAATTACTATGTCAAAAATTAAACTGTAGTCAAATTTCTTTCATGAGCCTTCTCTATCTGATTTAGTACAAGCATTTAATCCAATATAATGCATATGATAAAAAGTGAGATCTATCACATAAGATTAGGAAAAGCAAAAAACAATTTGGAAATATATAACTTCAATATAAAATTCATTCATTTTGATTTTTTTAAAGTCTAAAATATACCATCTTGTTGTCTTCTTTTTTCTTCTCTTCGCTCCTTTGCTAATTTTTGTTTTATATCATTTTTAAGAACAGATCCATCTATTACTAAAAAAAGAGAATATAGTTAGACATTAATAGGATATCAAATTTTAATGATATGACACTTTGACACTTATCAAAGTATTCTAGAAATTATACCTGGTTTAAATGCTGATCTTGTATTTGAGGACTGGGATGGAAGAGAGCTAAACCCACTCTGGGTGCGTCTTTCTTGAGCAATGGCATGAGCGGCAGCAACTAAAAAACAGGGAGATAAAGGAAAGGGATTAGATATTAAGAATACAAACAGCTAAAACAGGGGCTGCAAAGCACAGCCAATTGTGTCTTTGATGATAAAGGAAAGTATATCCTCCATAAGGCGAAGTCCCGACGGGTTAATCTGAGTCAACAACAAAGACATACTGAGCTCATGATGTTCAACAATGATTTCACAAAAAATTCAGTGTGCGTGCTGTGGATATGACACTATATCTTTGGATATAAAGAGAGTTGTTAGTGGGAGTAAGTAGCAGGACAAGTTTGTGGATGAGTAGGAGTTAATGATCAGTAGCTTTCAAAAATGCATCAAGCCTGGCCGGGCATGGTTCAGCGGTTGAGCGTCGACCTAGGATCCAGGCGATCGGGGTTCGATTCCGGATCAGGGCACATGCCCGGGTTGTGGGCTCGATCAATGACTCTCTCATCATTGATGTTTCTATCTCTCTCTCTCCCTCGCCTTCCCTCTCTCTGAAATCAATAAAGATATATTTAAAAAAACACACACAAAAACAAAAAACAAAAATGCATCAAGTACTAGAAAAACTGAGCTGTCAGGGAACTGGAAAAATGTTTCGCCGTAAACTGGGAATTTAGAAAACATTTGGAGCTTATGGATCTTAACTTGGAAGCAAAAGTGTCAACAGTGATATTCTCAGAGATTGGGCTTGATATTAAGGAGTACACTTATAAATGACCTAGATCAGGGGCTTGCTACACTGGCTGCAGTCACCTAAATTGCTTTTAAAAAAATTAGCAATGCCTGCCCCTCCCAGCCCCGACTCTCTAGGGGGTGAACCCAGGCCTTTGCAATTGCAAAAGGCTCTATTCTGATGCACACAGAAGGTGGAAAGCCACTCAAGGAATTTCCAATGAGATGGCATTATTCTAGGTAGAAAAACGTCAGGCAAACAAATGTAAATTATACAATACAAATTTACATATGTCTTGTGTAAACAGGTACAAAAGCTATAAACTTCAATAAGGGGGATGGGTGGAAAAGGTGAAGAAGAATACAGTCAATAATAGTGTGATAAGTTTGCAAGGTAACACATGATTACTAGATTTAGTGTGGTGATCAAATTGTAAAGGTATATAAATGTCAAATCACTATATTGTATACCTGAAACTAATATAATATTGTATGCCAATTATTTTTAAATTTAAAAATTAAGTAAAATAAACTTCAATAGGGGTAAAATATAAGATAAGGGGATCACAGTTTTAGGGAAAGTAAGAAAAACTACAATTCTAGGGTGATAAACATACAAGTTATTATAAAGGATTCCCTGAAACCTTTAATTCCATGTATGGCTGTTTCTAAAAGGCCCCATAATACTGGGCATCTTCAGGAAGGATCTGGAGAAGAACAATGAAAATTCTCTTCCACCTTTGAATGAAAGCACAAGAAATATGGCCCCGTGATACTGCATACAATTCTGGTTTCTATATATCAAGGAAAATATAACAGCTGAAGATGAGCAGGGGAAATAATTAAGGGAATAGAGGTGCTGTCTTTGTACTCAGAGAATGAATGGACTCTGAGCTGTTAGATGCCACTGAGGAAAGATATCTGGGAGTCATTTTACAGAGTAACCTTGAAAGGTGACATCACTATGGCTGCCATAGGGATCACTATTTCACAAGGGGTAAAGGGTGTTTTTTTACACCAGAGACCTAACAGCTCAGATAATACATGACTTAGCTAAATTTGAAGATTAGACCCTTCTCACCTTCCTTAATAATTCAACTACTGGCAATTTTGTAGACCACAATTACCCTCTGAATTTGAGTACCAGTGTATTAGGAAAAATTCTTAAATACAGTCTATAAAGTAATCCCTCCTATATACCCCTCCCACTTACAACATTTCTACGTGAGCATGGAGAAAACTTGTTTTTATGCATTCGGTTTTCTTATAAGTCATAAGGAAAGTCGATATTTTGTCACAATTTAGCTGGCCAAAAGGACAATTTATTTCAAAATGAACAATTTTACCAGATTTTTAGATCTTATTAAACAGAAGTAACCCTTGAATTAGCTGTGGTGGGAATAATGAACCAATCAAATAAAGGTTAATGTGGTAATATAACATCAAATCTGATTTTTACACCTTTATATCCAAATTCCTACTGGCAAGATATACACTCACGAAAAGGGCAGGCTCTAAAAATTATTTTAAATGTCCAGGCAATGGGAGAAAGCCTTTATGTCTTGAGTTAACACAGTGAATATTTTATTCACCTCCATGGACTGGGGGGATTTATTTACCATTTTAAAGTAACACTAAATTACAGGACGTACTCTACAGTATTTCTGCAGTTCTTATTCTAATTCTAAATCCCAAATTAAGGTTAAAAGTTACCTTTGCCTGGAGATTAAACAAGAAAACGTGTAGAGTTTATTACTAAAACTGAATTATGAATTGTAATCTATTTTATGGTACTTTCCTAAAGATTGCCATAACAAATAATGTACATCATCACTTCACCATATACAAAGTTATCTTCCTTTGCAAGGTGTAAACCTTATCAACAATCCTATAAAGTGGATATGATTGGTTGTCCCTTTTTTTTTATAGACAGTGAAGCTAAACATAACTTCCCCAGATCACACAGGTAGTAATGGTGAGACCAGACCTTGATTCAGTTGTAGATTAAGAAGCAACTTTACTTTGAAATATTACATAATTATCAAGGACTAGACTGTAAGAAAACCCACATTAACCTCTATAGGACTTAATTCATTATTCCCACCCCAGCTACTTCTAAGGTTACTTCTATTTGAAAAATCACGAAAAGGAATTAAGATCTAAATGTATAAAGTTGACTAAACAAGAAATAAATGAAATATATGGGTTTGGGCTGAAAATATAGTTTGAAAAATACAGCTATGGAAAGATTTTAAAATAAAGCATTTACTATTAAAAAAAGAAAGAAAGAAAGCACTATTATGCTGTGGCTAAGACAGGACTACTTTAAAGTAAGTGTAAAGGACATTACAAGAAGAAAACCATTCTCCTATGGGGAAAACTTACACTCAGTCATGCTATCTAGCCCAATATAAGTCTCATAATGAAATGAACCAAAAATAGGTGCCACTAAGATGCCAAAGTTAAAGAATGCTTACACTTAATAGGTTTTTAAAACATGTCATTGAGATTTTGAAGCCCCTTTGGGACATAAAGTATTTTAGCTCATTATTGACTTCAAAGTAGTAGAAAATTTCTGCTTCTCTCTGCTACCTCCCCCCCCCCCACATACACACAATCACATACATACATACATAATACACACACCGTCTGTGTCACTAGAGTTCTGCTGCACTAGGGCAAACTGAATTAAGGAAAGGAAGAACACAGCATGACAACTAGTTAAGAATGATGATAATATTCCTAAGGCTGCACACAAGCACAATCAACCCCAAATGCTTAATCCCATGAGACGTCAATGATGAATACTCACCCACATACTTATCCAGCAATTCTATAGCGTCTGCTGCAGACGTTGCTCTTAAATCCCTGTCAGAACTCAACATAAAACCTGTAGCCCTACCTGCCCATGACCTTTCTTCCCCATGATCCTTTCTTCTGTACTCATCAGAAACATTAGATCACATAAACTAGTACTTTTACCAGGTAGGGAAGGGCAGAGATTGCAAAAAATGATTGAATGGTTTTTTTACTGTTACAAAAGGGCTTTGGTTGTGGCAGAGAACCATACTATGAAACTAGTTGGTAGATTAAAAATTCAGTACTACTCACTGTTATTTGGACAAGAGAATAAAAAGAAGCAAGTGCCATAAAGTGGCAAAACACTTCATTGACTCTTTATCACCCTTTAAGAAATGCTGAGACCTGGAGGGCAGTTCTGGTCTAGCATGTGATGTTTTCAATTTCTAACACAAAGTGGGCAGCGAGGATGTCAACTAGGGTTCTGTGTTAAACCTCTTTTCCATGGCTTTTTAAGTTTTGGGTTTGAAATATGTCAATTCAAGCAACTGTCCTATACAAGATTTTCAAATACTTTTCAACGTTCAATATACAAACATTTGGGGGAATTATCCAGAATGCTGGTTAATTTAAAACAATGATATAAACCAATGTCAGAGAGCTTTAGTTGTCCATAAGCAATAAAACAAATCTGAATTTAATGGAAACTGTCTCCCTAGAGACAGAAAAGAGTTTTCTGCTGATGGACTGATGAAAGTGTTTTTTCTTTTGACACATTCTCTGAAAAGTTGCTTCAAAGCCTTCTGAAGTCACATAACGCCTCGCAGTTGCAGCCAATCTAAATTAATTTATCAACTGCAAATGAAAAAACTCCCTGAGGAGTTCAGTGAAATCAATAAGATAGTTTTATTCAAGCTCATACAGGAGGAAACTCGCCTGAGAACTGGCGAAAAGCAACCTGCTACAAGCAAGAAATGCTATTTCGCTCAAGTAGTGGAGCAGTCTCGTGGGCTAAGAAATACGCTGCCAAATTTTACAAAATTAACGATTTGGAGGGTAACTTTTTGGCGAGGAGATGAGTTCAGGAGATGCACTCTGAATCAGTGCAGCCTAGGGTCTGCAAGATGTCCCAGGAAAGGTGACACCTTGGAGGAGTAATGGGAATCAGGAGGTAGAGAGAGCTAAATTTCATCCCAATTTAGGCTCCCTCCTTACCGAACCGTGAGTAGGAAGGTGGCAGAGGCAAGCTTTCCGAAAGGCACGGATTGCAACCGTGGGAAAGAATCAGAGCGCGAGCGCCCCAGATAGAAGGGAAACTCCAACCGCTGATGCCTGGAAGGGCTGCGCCCGCCACGGAGGCGGCCCCAGAGCGCGGGGTCCTCCAGGACGCTCATCCCCGGCAGCCGCGCGTCGGTCGCAGCGGTTGTGGGGCGCACGCCGGCCCCAACAACAGGAGGGGTTCGAGACAGTTCGCGGGGTCCGGGCTTCCAGGCCACCCCGGCCTCGCAGCGCCCGTTAGCTACCTGCCGCCCGCTCGCGGGGATCAGCTATCGGCGGCGCTCGCCGGC